TGATTATTTGCCATAAAATCAGACCACTAGACCCATTTTGTTGATAAATCACATTAAGTGTTAGCACAGCAAGAATACGCTGAAAGAATTTCCTCAGTAAGTCTTTTTTGTAACTTTCTGAGTTAGTATGACCGTGGTTCAGGGGGTTGGGAAGCGCATCTGTAACCGGAAGGTCGCCGGTTCAATCCCCGGGCTCTCTGTCCTGGTCGTTGTGTCCTTGAATGAATAGTGGAATTGTAAAGTGCTTTGGGTGCCTTGAAAAGCGCTATATAAATGCAATCCATTAATATTAATATTAGTAAATATCGTAAAAATCAAGAATAACGTGGAAATCACAAATATCACAACTGATTAGCTTTTAACTAAATTACAGTAGCTGGTAAATTAATATTACTAAGTTTTCAAAATTATAACTTCATTTTGAACAACTGCTATATGGAAGCTAAACAATTATATGGCTAAAGATCACATGGTCCTGTGGCATGACACTCATGATACCATCCACCTTCAACCACAGTGTGTTTCATGGTTTCATATGAAGCCACAACAGCTGGCACTCTGCACCAGTATACTGATGAGTGGAGCTTTAAATTGTTCATCTGGCATCATCCACGACTTGCTGCTGTATCAGGGGGGTCTATGTTCTTCAATGCTCCCCTGAGTGAAAAGCAACAGAAGCTCCCTCTAAGGGGCCAAAGCTGTAAAAACACTTTGCAAACCCATAAAAGAACCTCGGCTCTTCACAAGTTTCTGCTTGGTCCAGAACTTGCACACCTCTGGTGTCAGGTGCATTGGTACTGTATGACCAAACTGATGGCAGAGAAAGACCTGATGAAGAACGGCCATGGAGCCTGTGATTACAGCTCTGATGAAGGTCTGATTGCAATGAAATGATTTGACAACAAATGTGTCAACCTCCTAAACAGGCCTGTGAGTTCATGCTTCTTTCATCGGTCAAACGGTGGAGCAAAGATCACCATCCCTGTGTATAATTATCACATGGGAGGAAATGAGCTTTGATATGCTATTACACCTGCAGACAAGTTATAAGTTACAAGTTAGGAGATGGCATATCCCACAGTTCGGATACATCCTTGACTTGAATACCTGGTCTACATGAGCGACTGCGCCCTACTGGACCAGAAACTGACGGCTCTCAGAAGGTTTCCGCCTGGTTGTGTCTGAACCAAGTTAACCAGCATCTGGAGTTGGACGACCATGATCCAGCTCTCCATCAAAGCTACACCCTAAGACCCCAACGACCAAAACCAGAAGCAGATGTGCTGATTTGCAGTTTTTATTTTATCTTTTTAAAAACAAAGCTGATTTTGCACAGTAGCGTTCAATCAGACGTGTCCTGGATGTGCGTGTTCATGTATTTTGTTGTTTGATACTTTCCTTTGATGGAAACAGCCGTGTTCTCTGAATGCTGCTACACAGAAACTGTATCCAATGGTCTGGATAGTTTTTATTAATATAATCATAATTTGGCCCTTTGTTTGTTTTTTCACCTGTATTATCTGACGTACTTGTGTTTGCATGACATTTCATACTCTTATCATTAAGTGACATCTCAGCCGTTTGGTAGAGATCAATATTTTAAAAACTAAACTATTGATTGTGGTTATTCCCCCAAATCAATAAGAAATGCAAACAAAAATGCTTTTTTCTTGGTGAGGACATCAAAGGCTTTTACGGACTTTTAACCACACAACAGCAAACGAGCTGAAAGCAAAGTCACTTCCTGTTGCCGTGGGCACGGTTCCCCTGACACAAAGCTAACTCAGCCGTGGAGGAAACATGTGACACTCACGCTGTCCACGAGGTTGGCGAGCAGAACCATCTCCTCCCTCACTGCCGTCGCGTTCCTGCTCATGAAGTTAAACTGGGGAGAGAGAAACACACGGTTACACGCCGCCCGCCGCAGCAGTCCCCCTCCACCCGGTGTCGTGCTCTCACCCTCTCGTTGTCGACCACCAGCAGCAGCTCCACGTAGTGCGTCTTGTGGAGGACGGCTCTCCTCACCTGGAACAGAAACACGGTTACTCTCTGAGAGCGCACGGCGGCGCTCGCGCTGCTGGAGCTCCATCAACATAAACTGTAAAGGAATGATGGCAGGACTCCAGAGCTGGAGAGCTGGTACAGGTCAAAGTTCAGGGGACAGGAAGTCAGCGTGCGCCGTGTGCGTG